AGTTTTCTGCTTTCCTCCTGCTCTCCAGCATGCAAGCAGGGTACCCTGGCTTATGCAGAATATCTGGCTGAATGGAGGGGGACTGGGCCCAGTTCCAGTGGTTACTGGTTTCTGTGGTAAAATATTTCCATGGTGGTCAGTTGCAGCTTCCAATTAAACATTAACCATTGTCAAAATTCCTAGAATGATAACCATAATGTCTAGGGACCCTGCATGTGCTGGGTCCTGAATGCTACTCTGTATTTAGGAAAGACAGGCTGTTTTCCATGATCTACATAGTACATATAACTTTTGATAATAAAATAAAAATTAAACAGATTTAACAACAGTGAGATGACCAGACTCTGAGACACTGGCAGCACCAAATGCTGGGGAGGCTGTGGAGGAGCAGAACCCTTAGCCAATGCTGTTGAGAATGTAAAATGGCACAGCCACTTTGGAAGAGAGCTCGCTGGTTTCTTAAAAAGCTAAACATACTCTTATCCAATGATGAAGGAATCACACACCTTGGTATTTAACCATGAGGAGTTGAAAATTTATGTCTAGACAAAAATCTACATATGGATGCTTATTTATAATTGTCAAACCTGGAAGCAACCAATATGTCCCAGAAGAAGTAAACTGCTAAACAAACCATGGTACACCCAGACAGAGGAATATTTAGTGCTAAAAAGAAATGAGCTATTACATTTTGAAAAGACATAGGAGAATCTTAAATGCATATGACTAAATGAAATCAGTCAATGTGAAAGGCTATATATAGTGTGATCACAATCATATGATACTCTGGAAAAGACAGAAGGTATGGGGACAGTGAAAAGATTTGTGGTTGTCAGGAGCTAGGGTGGGGATGAAAAGGCATAACAGGGATTTTTAGGGCAGTGAAAATATGCTGTATGATACTATCAGAGTGGACACATGTCATTATTTATTTGTTCAAACCCATAGAATGTGTGACACCAAGAGTGAACCTAAGGTAAACTATGGGCTTCAAGTAATTACGATGTGTCAGTGTGTGTTCATCTGTAGTAGTAAATGTGTACTCTGGTGGGGGATGATAATAAGGAGGTAGGTTATGCTTGGGGTGGGAGCAGGGGGCATATATAAGGGAATCTTGGAGGCTGGGGATTTAGCTTAATGGTACAGCACCTGTCTAGCAAATGCGAGGTCGTGAGTTTGATCCCTGGTACAAAAAAAAAAAAAAAAAAAAAAGGAGTAACGGGGAATCTCTGCCCTTCCTCTCAGTTTTGCTATGAACCCAAAACTGCTCTGAAAAATAAAATAAAATAAAATAAAATAAAATAAAATATTCTCTGCATATTTCTTCTCTAACTGAAACCATAAGGAAATTTATTGGGAAACGGGAGTTGGCGGTATTGTTATTAGCATATTTATCACACAGTTATGAAAGGCTAGTAATTTATGATCCTGGCTAGCAAAGCTAGATCAATACAGAGATAAATGTCCTCCGCAAAATAGAATTTATATCATCCACATGATAATTGACCACTGTGTCATGCGTTCAGTCATCCATCTCATTACCTGATATAACTAGCAGGAAGGCTAGTATGTATGTTTCATTTATTAATAGACCCTGATATGAAATCCTCCAACCAGGTAACCTGGTACCTGTCCTTGGCAACACAATACACAGTTGTTCATCTCAGTAACAAGATCCCACAGAAAGATCAAACAACCTTTTTCAGTGTTGGACATCTGTTGTAGATATCTGAGAATGTCTAGGCTAGCATTATGTCGTCTCTTTCCTTTCTCCCAGGTGTGGGTTCTGTCTCCTTTTTTCCCTCAGACACAAGTGACATGCCTTGGAATAGAGGTGGGTATGCAAATGTTTTAAAAACATCTTTGTCGTCACTGACTCACAGTTCTGAGTATAATTTGAGACACAGTTATTTCACATCACCCATATTTGCCTTCCCTGAGCTATAGTGGCTATCTGTCCTCTGGGAAGAGACATGGGGAAGGTGAGAAAGGAAATTAGAAAGCTAACCATGTGTAAAACCTGTGCATGGAGTCAGCTCCATGACAGGGAGTGGAAACCATTCCAAATGCCTTCCTCCCTTCTTTTTCAGCCCACTGGGCACATTTGTTGCCTGCAGTATCTTTGTTTAGCTTTGCAGGGGTTAATCAGTTGGCCTATTATTCAGAAAATTAAAGGCTTGGCTGCTTGAGAGTTCCTTTCAGAAAGGATTAGGGTCTCTGATGAGGCTTTGATGTAATAGATGGAGCTGTTCTGCTTCATCATGCTAATGGAGGAGTTTTAAGGACTCCCCAGACTCTCTTTGACAGTGCATGTCTTTATTCATTCCCTTGCTTAAAATTAAAAAAAAAAAAATTATCTTAAGAAAACTTAGCACTTGAACAAAGCACTGGATGGGCATCCCTGGAGTAGGTGGCAAAATGTTCATTTCTTGGTCTAGCAGTACACAGAAGCCGTCCTTGCTGGCTTCCTTGGGTGGCCACTTCCTCTCTCCAAAGAAAAGAACCACCTCTTCAAAGAGAAGCAACAGTGATAATTATGACCTTGTTCCTTACTGCCTTTTGAAACTTTTGGCTCAGAAGGTGGGCAGAAAGGATGACAGGTGACAGTTATGATGGTGATATCTGTCCTCAGGAATATGAACCAAGGCAGCTATTGGCTGTGAAAAATCCAAATTTGCATAAAACATTTGCCTATTATCTTAAAAAAAATTATCCAGGCTTTTTAGTACTGGTTAAGTTGTTACAAAAGCCTGGCTTAGTTTATTTTCCCCAATTTTATGCTCATACTATCTGTAATGGTCATGTAATTGGCAATCGGCCAAAGAACAGTTGTCTCTTTACATCTTTAGCAAAGAGCACACATTAGGAAAGGAGGTGAAATGTGGGTGACAGTACCATGAGGACTGTTGCAGCTGTAGGCTATTATCTTTCCTCTTAAGTGGATCCCCCCACCACTATGTATTATGGCCTGAAATTCTAGTTGAAACCATCATTATCGTCATTTAGGAGGCAAATCTGATGTCCTGTTGCTTCCACACCCACCTGCGCGATGCTCCAGTCCTCTTTCCCCTCCCCCGACTCCCGCTGTTGGGATTAAATTGCTGCCTCCTTTAGCTGCTTTCAATCCACAGGCCGTATTTCTGCAATTTCCTTTGCGTTCTTTGCAGTAAACAGTGAGCGAATGGCAGCTTGGCGTCTGTTTTCCTTTACTTGAGCTATGCAACTTCTGGGCATTGTGTTCTGCAGGTTAGAATCAAGGGATGAGTCTGTACAGTTCGTCAGACCTCTGGGAGGGTTAGCCCTGGGCCTAGGTCAGAACTCAGGGCCTCTGTGTATTGGCCACCCATGGGAGCTTTTTCACTAACTGGCTCTCTGATACTAGGCATCAGTTGGGACTGAAGAGCATTACAAGGAACAGTCTGTGAAGCTGGGTGTGTTGGCTGGTGTGTGCCTATGGTCTCAGCACTGAGCTAGGGCCAGGGATGTAGCTCAGTGTGGGGGCTCCGGATTCATTCCCCACTAACACAAAAGCATGCAGAAACCTCTGAGACTTAAGGCCATGTGCATGGGAGGATAATAGTGTTTGTTATGTTACGTGTAGTATTTTCTGTGAAAGCTCACAGAAGCTGTATCTTTAGCAGTTATCATCTTCAGATGGTAGTTTTCAAGGCAACTAATCTGTTTGGTATTGTGGATTTTAAGAACTATAGGATGCTAATTTTTCTTTTCACGTTGCCTGTGAGAAATTCCAGAGCCAAACATGTGGCTCCTCTTTAAGCAAAATCCTTTCTTTTGTAGTCTAATTCCTTTGGATTTTCCCTTTGCTTCATTTTTCTCTTTTACCTGTAATTATTTTTTATCTTGCCTTGTTGCATGCACCTGATTTATTTAAGCATGTGTTGTTGAAGGATGCCTTAAATTATTTAAGAAATAATACTACAAACCAATCACATGCCCTCCTGGTGGGGATATAAAATAGCGACTGCTGCTCTGGAAAACAGGCCACTAGTTTTTCAAAAGATGAATATAATGTTAATAAGTGGTCCAGCAATTCTCCACCTAGATACATACCTAAGAAAAATAAAAGCGTGTGTCTGCATAAAAACAAGTGCAGATGGGGGCTGAGGATTTAGCTCAGCGGCGTAAGTGCCTGCCTTGCAAGTGCGTGGTCATGAGTTCAATCCCCTGTACCGATAAAAAAAAAAGAAAAACAAGTGCAGAAACATTAATAGCAGTATGAATTAATAATAGCTTTAAGTATAAAGGGTTGGGATGTAGTTCAGTGGTAGAATGCCTACTTGGTATATACAAGGCCCCAAGTTCTATACCTAGTACTACAAAAGTAAATAAAATAAAATGGAAAAAGGAAAGAAAATGGAAAACAAACATGGCACATCCGTACCAGGAAGCATTATTTAGCAATACGGGCAAGTTCAAGGTCATGAGTTTGATCCCTGGTTAAAAAAAAAAAAAAAAAAAAGGAGTTGCAGAAAGCCATACATACTACATGAAATGTCCAGATTAAGCAAATATTTAGAAACAGAAACAGATTAGTAGTTGCCCAGAATCAAGGGAGTTGAGGGAAGTAGAGGGTGACTGCTAATGGGTACAAGGTTTTTTTTGGGGGTGATGAAAATGTCCTAAAATTGATCTTGGCAATGGTTACATAACTGTGTGAACATGCTAAAAGTCTTTGAACTATACATTTTAAATAAATGAACTGTATGGTGTGTGAATTATTAAAGCTGTTATTAAAATCATTTGCAGTAATTAGTGATAAATTTTATGGAGTAGCTTTTGCTAGTCTTCTTACACTTTTAATTTTAATTTCCAGATATACACATTATAGTTAAATCCACTCATATTCAGCAGCATCTACATACTTGCTTGGGATCTTGAGTCTCTAAAGTGAGAGATGACCTTCTCCATAGTATGAAAATTCCCTCTCTACTATTGTGTCTATGATGTTTGATTCATTAGAAAACTCTGTAGTGGCTCACGTTCTAAGCCAGCAACACATATACTAAAATAGGAATAATACAGAGAAGATTAGCATGGTCCTTGTGCAAGGATGACATGCAAATTCATGAAGTGTTCCATATTTTTAGCCAGGTGTGGTGGCACATGCCTGTAATCCCAGTACTTGGGAAGCTGGGGCAGGAAGATCATTGCAAGTTCAAGACCAGCCTGCACTACAAAGTGAACTCAAGGCCAGTCTGAACTGCATAGTGAGACGCTGTCTTAAAAAAGAAAAGAAAAAAAAAATGCTGTCAATTCTGTCCATTGGTCCTAATTTTTGCATACCCCGTCTTCTCTGTCCTTGCCATCTTCCTCTACCTCATAGTGAATGTAAATGAGCAAGAGTGGTCAAGAAGTAAGAGGATAAGTAAGAGAAGAAGCATCATTGCAGTCAAGGAAAGAGAATGTTCTAGAAAGTGGGCAGGACGGTGGCCGCCATCAGAGTGTTGAGCAATAAGTCCAATGAAAACTAAAGAGGTCATGGAATCAGTAACTTGAGTCCTTTGAGAGAAGTTTCGGTGGGCAAGAAAGCTAAAGATGTTTACATTGACAAAGGTTTAGCTGCAGGTCCATCTATTAAATTTAAATTTGTCTAAGATTCCAGTGACACTCATGACATCTTCACATTCCACATCTAGAACTACCTTTGTCTCTGTATTTCCTTAGTTCAAACTGTCTGCTTCCTAGAAGGATGTCCTTCTATCCCTCCAATAGACTCCGTAATGTGGCACATTTGCTTTGCAAAGCAAATAGCTACTTTTGTTATCTCTCTGCTCAAAAATCTGGTGATGCATGGCTGAGGAAGTAGTCCTGAGCTGAAGATATAGCTCAGTGGCTGAGCACTTGCTTAACTGTGCAAAGCCTGCATTTTAATAAATAAAATAAAATAAAAAAATATGCCAGCCAGCCCAAGCTCACTGGGCAGGGCCTTCTATGTTTAAATGAGTGACTGAATGGATGATTCCAGCTAGATTCTCTCTCCCATTTCCATTAGAACTGTAGTAGTGGTCTACTCTGTTCCCCACATGAGGCTTTCTCAGGCCTCGTGGAGTTGGTTGCTCATTTCTTATAAAGGATGTCTGTGTATTATCCATTCCTTCATCTTGTAGGGAGAGAAATGCATACAAATGAGAATTATGGATCTAATTCAGGGCAGGGTGGCAAGTAGGATCAAGCAGAGCAATGCACTTCATATGTCCTTGGGCACTTACACCTGGACAAAGAAGCAGAACATGCCTGTCAAAATGGAAATGGATTTTTGAATCAAAGAAATTAGCCAGACATTCAAAAACAAAAGTACTCAAAGGCTTGAACTTGAAAATGTCAAAGCTTTTGCTTTGTGCTGAATTGTTAGACCTCAAATGTTGCCTTCTCTTCAGAATTTTGCAAGTTCTGATTAGGGCATCTGTGAAACAGGAATTTTGTCTCAGTGATAGGAATCACACTGAGAGAATATAACTAGTGGGTACAGTATTATGCATTTCTGATTCAAGGACCCAGTGAACATTAACATTCCCTTCTGGTTGTAGTTTGACTTTTCCAAAATTTGGGTGCTCCCCATGTGATAATATTGAGGCGGGCTGGCCAGGTTCTGATATCTATGACTGTAACTTTAGCTATTCCTGAGGGCTGAGGAAGTCAGGTCAGCTTAGTGAGGTGAACATTCACTAAATTAACGTAGGCAATGTCAACTTTCTCAGCCTGCCTTCTTTTCTTTTTTGAGGCATTAGTCATTTTGGGAAAATGCCTGTTTGTCATAGTCTTGTCTTCCAGAGTGGAAATTTTCTTCTAAGTCAGAGCACAGAGCCCTGCAATTCAGCCTATAATTAGTGCACACTCTGGAGCATTTGCTCCCCTTGAATTGGAGGCCTCTTTGTCAGTCAGGCTGCTGTTTGATGATGATAGGAACGGTGAATCATGGGCAGGGAAACATTGGTCGAATCAAAAACATTTAGATTTTCTGTACCCACAGGAACACTTAACAAGTTGCAAGCCTACAAGAAAATAGCAGAAAGTCTTCAAGACAAAAAGCTTGATAGACAGATGAAAAGCCAGGAGAATCCCGAGTTCTGATCTACTTTTGTCCGTCTGAGTGGTGTAAGATTGCTGTTACTCAGTCTCTTCTCACGAAGTTCACCAGTATTTTTAGTTTTGCTTTTTCAGCTGTTCTGTAGGAAGGATGTTTATTCATGAGTAAATATCAGTTTGTGACTAGTGATAAATAGCTCCTCTTTGTAGATACCCAGTTTTTTGGTTATGAAATCACATTTGGCAGTGATGGTGTGGCTGAGATTATGTCTGTAAGCAGGGAATGTGCAGGCAGCTTCAACTCCAGAGCCTGATCCTGCCTCTTGCTAAGAAATGTCCCCTTCTTGCCTGTTTCTGGCATAAGCCAGTCTGGAAGATCACTACAAATGGCTACAAAAACCTGTGTTCAATGTGGTGACACTAATGAATTCTTAGAATTAATCTTCAGCCTAGAAAGCATGATGGAAAGTACTAGAATTTCAAATTAGGTGGTGGATTGATTTCCTTAAGGCTGAAAGTTGTTCCTTTTCTCTTCTAGTGGGTTTTCCTATCATATTCAGTGCAACCACCAAAGCCTTATAAATCCAGGATCTCTTATACATGTCTCATCGTATGAAGAGGTTTTTATTGTGTTGTTTTATTTTGTTCCTTAGCACAGAGAAACATCTAAAACCCAATTTTAAAAGAGAAAAAAATCTTGCAGTGAAAGATTTACTTATGATTTGGAGGGGGAAAAGTTTTCAAAGTTAATCTATGCTTAACTTCTTTTTTTTAGAGCAAGAGACTGGAAACAGCTAAGCTGGGAAATAGATTTCTACTGTGAGTCACTGTCTCCTATAGAAACAGTAGCCCATAGAGTAACAGATGTGGGGATAACTAGGGGTCTCTGAGTCTCCCCACAATTTACTAACATTCCCCAGTTCCACCTTCATCTCTGCCCCTCATTCTTGCAACACAGCTTCTGAGGATGACATCTGGGGGGCTCATTAACACAAACAGGAGAAAGCAGTCTGCAGCCAAGTAAGTTCGGAGATGTGGCATCAAACGAAATTAAACATTTTCTTAACCCTCAAGACTTTAACAGGCTCCTGTGCATCCACTTGACTTGATTTCGAGAACTGTTGATGTCCCCAGTCTTCTTTGACCAGGAAACTAGGGTTCTTTCCTGGAATGACTTGCATGTATAATGCTTTACCCACCCACCTCACCTCACATAGGCTGGCCCCCATTTCCCATGACGATTCAGCTTTTTATGCATCCTTCTGAAAACTTTGCTCAGTCTCTGGCTGGAGGAAGATATTCTGTGTCTGAAATAATTCCTCACTTATTAAATAATCCTGAAATGAATAAATACTCACTTTCATTAGTTTTATACATTCTTTCTCCACAGCAGGAGAGAGGTGTGTTGGCATGATGTGTTCTCCATATGTCTGCATTAAAAATTGTATAGAGGCTTTCAGGAGTTTTAATGACCCCAATGGTTCCTTCTTCATCCTCTGTATTGTTTTACACATTGCACCATTTTAAACAACGCAGAGCCAAGTAAGAAGGATCCCTCTGAGAAATGGGGCATTGACCTCATCACTGTCAGGGCTTGACCTCAGTTTTCTCACCTCTGAAAATAGAGGGTTTGAGTAGGAAATCTTAAACCCTGTGACTCTGAAACTCTGTTTTTGTGTTATTAGTCCTAAAATATATGCACACACTGGTTTTGCTGTTTCTGTCTTTTCTCTCTTTTCAATTGGATTGTAGATCTGGAGGGAAAACATCACAATTCTTTATGGATTTGTTTTAGGTTATTCTGATGCTGTGTAATAAATGTTTGCTGAGTGAATGCCCTCTTTCTAGTAATGCATGATGTTCAGCCCTATCTGCTCCTAAGAGAGAACTTTCCTCTGTTGATCAACGCAATGATAATCCCCTTTCATACTGGCTCTTAAGCCGCATGAGAAAAAAGTACACAGGAGTGTTTTAGTATGCTTTCAAGGTCTTCTTGCCTTTCACCTAAAAACTCTCCAACGTGGTTGGATTTGTTACAATGCTGCTTAGCATTTCTCTCATACCCACTAGGATTCCATTTCACTGATCTCATAATATGACATTCAGCATACTCCAGTCTTATCAAGAGAAATTAACAAATCCTCTTGGTCATTGCTTCTAGACAGTGATGTGTACACTGTCTTCATTTCTTTTGGATCCTCACAAGATAACCGATTGGCCAGTTTCTTCTTGTCTGATTCTCTTACTTCCTTGCACTTTATTTTTATTCCCTCTGTGAACCAGAGAGACCCTAGCTAACATACCAGATGATTTTACAACCTTTCTGGAAGCCTTGCTTCTCCAGTGGGTGCTAAAATTGTAAAACAAAACAGACCACTTTCAGTTGCATCCCTAGACTCCAGGAGAGACCCAGTGTTACAGCTGGATGAAGTGTAGGGTTCCTGGCCTTTCTCATATCCTATTTCAGAGCTTTACTTCTTAAAGTACCCAAAGAAACCTGTTTTTGGACCCATCTGGAATGCTGGCCTTGGGCACCTGTGCCCTCACATGCCCTGATATTTTTTCTAATTGTCACTCTCACCCTCTTCTAAGCCCCCTTAGTTCGGCTCTGGTGAAGATGCAGAGACAGCTGCCCCAGTCCTTTTGGGTTATTTTTTTTCTTTTTTCAGTGAGCACTTACTGGCTGTCAGATGAAAGTTCACAACAGGAGGGAGCAAATCAAATGTGTTTTTCAGGGAAACTGGAGTTTTCTATTCCTGTGTTGCAGAAACAGATATCTGGTGATGAGAAAGACAGTATAACCTGACCGCTGTCCCGGGGCAGTCCTAGCTGTGATCCAGCAGATCCTGTTGTACCCATTCCCTTGAAGGCACCAGGAATGTTATGTAACTGTGGTTTTGTCTTCAGCTGGAAGCCTCAGGGGACATGTGGCTATTTTTATTTTAGACGTTTTCATATACCATGCCCCAAGCTAGAAGGACAGGGCTATTATTGATCTAATAACTACTTTTTGGGTTCCTTCTCTCTCAGGAAACATGGTGATTCACATTTGATTTCCTTTGACAGTCACATAGACAGGTGAATATAACTGATGTCAAGAGAAGACTGGTGATATAGGAATAGGATTACAGTCTTTTTTAGCATGTGTACTGATTTTGTATAATTGATAAGAAATATAATAGGTTACACAAAAGGCCTTGAAACTATAAAAGTCAAATGATTGATTTCTTTCCAAGGCAAGGTGGGGGTGGTATTTATAGTCCTGCAGGCAGCACAGGGGGATTTAGGTACTGCAGCTCCACAAGGCAAGGAAGGCCCTGAATCAATGTTCAACTGGACTAAGGGGCAAAGCGACCAAATGGCCTTTGGGACTAGAAGGTGAGGGATATGAAAGAGTTTTGAAGAAAAACTGCAGAGGTGAAGTAAAGCTTTCCTTGTAAATCTAATCACTGAGGATTGCTTTAGGAATTCTGCTTAACTGTCTGAAAAGATGTTCAAGGTGATGCTTTTTACCATTCGCCTGTGCATTTGATTTTTTAAAATGTGATGCTTTGGATGTCGGTGGTATTGGGAAAAGTAAAGGCATTTAGTTCATGGAGGGGACAGAATGGCACCGGTGTGTATTCAAAGCCTCCAGTGCGAGTTAAAGACTCACAGCTTCCCAGTGTGCATGCTGAAACTGCCTCCTCTCACTCAGGGCAGTTACTCAGAATAGAAATGTGGTGGTAATTCCATTTTTCTAGAAACTTCTGTGTATCAGAATCATCTTTAGCAACACAGAGAATGCAGCAAAATGTATTGCTATTGTTTTCTTTGAAAAGGACATTGAATCTGAAACAGAAAGTGGTTACACCAGTGTGGTTTTAACCAATTAACTGCAGAGGAGCTTAAAAGACTGAATTTTACTACTTCGAATGGACTTTTTGTTCCCTGTTTACATAATTTCATCCCAGTTCTTCTGAATTATATGGTAGTCACTTCCTGTTCTGAGGTTTCTTTTCTTCTTCAGAAGACATTAGAAATCAATCTGCCTGCCTTTCTTTTTCTTTGAGATTTGTTTCTTTTCTTGCAAATATACTTTCTCCATTACTAAATAAAGGATGTTTCATATTTTAAGATTCACTTGAGGTGATAGTATTTAATTCTAGATATTTGTGAAACTTGATTCCATTGAAAAACATTTTTCTGTAATGAAAAATCAGATAGAAAATTGTCTGACCACTCTGTTTTTAAATGTTTTAAATACTACCAAGTAAATCGATGTTAAATTTTGATTTCACATTAAGTATTTACTTAAACTAAATAGAGTTCTGATTTTTTAATTCAACTGATATTGTTTTTTACTTTCTGGTGTTAATAAAGAGTTATGTATGATGATTGGCGAGGTTTTATAAATGAGCCTTCTCATCTCCTCTCCCCCTGTTCACCAAGGAACAGGGTGTCTCAGTCTGTACTTTCGATTGTTGATTTTTTTCAAACAGGTGTCTTATTAAGGATTTTGAAAAGCGACCTTCCGTCACACAGCTCCTGGACCACCCATTTATTAAAGAAGCTCACGGAAAGGTTCTGTTTCTGCAGAAACAGCTGGCCAAGGTGCTTCAAGAGCAGAAGCATCTGAACCCTGTTGCTAAAACCAGGTACGATTCTCTGTGTCCTGCATCTTCCCTCCTGTTGTTTATAAATATGATATGGCGTGTTTTTGGATTTGCCCGGCATTGTTGCTGTTCAGTTCCATTTACGTGACATGAAGCGCTCCCTGCCCAGAGGGAGAACAGGCAGCCTGCAGAGACAAACAGTCTCTGCAGTTTGTGCTCAGCAGCTAATTTCCATCAGATGGCTGAAACTTCACTGCCCTTGTATTCAGTTAGCTCTAGGTAAAAATCAGCAGATACATGTATATGTTTATATTTAATATAAATATGGAGTTTTTAAGCCAATGAAGGTAACTGTACAAAAGCAGCCACAGCTTGAGATTGTGTGAAAAATCTCTACCTAGTCCTTGCAAACTGGAGAGCCAAAATACAGGCTGTAAAATAATTGCAGAAAGGTTTGCATTCAATAGTAGAGGTTTTTCTTTAATATGCTCTGAGACTGTTTCTACTTTATTTAAACATTCCTTAGAGTCAATTTAATATTCTAGATGATTATTTCAGATCTTGTCCATGCTCTCTAAAGCAACTGTGATTCTCACCCCACCCTATCCTCTTTTTAAAAGAGATAGAGTTTTTAAAATGTTTATTTTCAGGGGCAAGTTCTTAAAACAGTATTTTGTGGTGAATCTCAAAGAAATAGATCATTGGTTTCTGTCCAGTGGGTGGCAGAATCTCTCTTTAAGAAAAAAATTAAATGCAAATAAGTCTACCTCTTCTGCTCAGCAAGTATTTGGTTTTATAAAACTGGTCAGGATACAGATAAGCTCCAGTCTATTATTAACTGAAAGAACATTGAAGGAGGTGAAGAAAATAAAATGTTAAGTCACAAATTCTAGAAATATTCATGTATTCTGCAGAAAATGAGTTACAAAGCAAGAAGCCAAACGCAGCCTCAGACCTCCAACTAGCCAGAGGCATAGTACAGAGGTGATTTTTCTCAGCCATAACCTGCTTTCTTTTTAGACAGTTCAAAACACATTCTCTGTGACAGCTTGTTTCTATGACTTCTCTACGTAGTGGAGAAACAGAAACATTCTTGTGATTTGATGTCTTTTTGAAGCAAGAGGATCTTGTGTTTGAGCCCTGGGAACTAAAGCCTCCTTTCTTCCTGTGGCTTCTGTCCCTGTATCAGCCGAAGAGAGTCCTCTACAACCTGCTCTAGTGTACACAGAGACACACACAGCCGTGGGGTTAACACCCAGAATGAAGATGAGGTGCAGCGAGGCATACCACCCAAAGCACCCCCAGCCCTTAGCTGCTCTGAGTCGAGCCCTGTCCCCTTCAGTGTTCTTGTTCTGAGATCTGCTGTCAGACAGTTTCTGCAGTTTCATTGCAGAGTGATCCAGCTTTGCATGCCTGCCTTACTTTACCTGTCCAGATCTACGTTTTCTTAAAAACAAAAAACTCAAAAAATCTTTTCTCCTTTCCCCACAGAAAAATCATGACTGCATGCTCTCTCATCCCTTTGCTCTAATTTTTCTTTATTTTTTTTTTTAATTTTACCAACATCACTTTACTTATTTTTTTATTTTTTATTTTTTATCGGTACTGGGGATCGAACTCACGACCGCCTGCTTGCAAGGCAGGTGCTTATGCCGCTGAGCTAAATCCCCAGCCCCAATTTTTCTTTATTTTTGGTAAGTTTTTCGATGTCAAAAGTCCCTTAGGGTGGCGAAGGCTTCTCACAGGGTCTTTATAATCTTGAGTTTCTTGTAGTAGTTTGTATTTCTTTCAACAGTCATTTTAAAAAATACAGCCTCAAAAATAGATATCAAAACTTTAAATGGTCTCCTTTTTAGGAGCCAGGAGAATTAATTCCAAAGGGAACATGATGCGTGTAATCAATAGTTGCCCTGCTTGTTAGTCCACGGAGTGAGTCACTTCTGATCAGTAGCTGCTGAAATGTTGGCTATATATGAAGCGTGATAAAAAACATGATTGTTTAATTGTTTTTAAAATTATTACAGTGAAAGACACATTGGTATTAATTCCCACTAAACCTCCAACCCCTTGCTTTGAGCCTCCTTATTCTTGCCATTTTCGAAAGCAGTTGTGGAAGTTCTTTTCTGAGTTCTTTAGTTGTGCTGGTGTGATTGTCTCAGTGTCCTGAGTAGATTCAAAACATTCACCTTTCGTGGTTGTTTTGACGTTGGAGAAGAGCCAGAAGTTGCATGATGCCAGATTCAGCAAATAAGGTAGAAGAAGATACACTAGAATATTTCACCACACTGCCTTTCTGTTGCATGGCATGAAGCAGCAACCTTCACCGGGTTTCCAATCACACCTCATAAGATACCAGGAAGGAGGGCTTCCAAAGCTGTGTCAGGAAGTGGTGAGAACATTGGAATAAGCGTGTTTCAAGCAAGGAAGAGAATTATGAGAGAAGTTAATGGAAATGTGTCTTTTACTCGGATAAATTTAAAAATTTTACCATTCACTGTTGATCACACCTCGTATATGTTTTTAAAGCCCATCCAGGAATACTCTTAGCCATCATTTGATGTTAATAAGTCAATGTATTTAAGATCACGTGCTTCTCCAAAAGGTGGAAAGGACAAAGAATAATTGAACTGAGAGCACAGATAAGTGAGGCTAATGGGCAATCACTTTTAACACAGTGACTGCATTAGAGTAGGCAGGACCATATAGGGGGTCTACCAGGTTTGAATCCTGGTTCAGCCACTTAACTGGTTAAATTATTTATTTTTTCTTTTTGAAGTTTCTTCTATAAAATGGAGATTATTTTGAGGGTTGAGGCTACACATAAAATTTTGCCGTAGTGCTCTATTCAGACACCCCTCAATTAATGTTAGTAGTATACAGTCTACTTAACTGGGATCCTTTCATTTTTTTTAACACCAATTTCCTCTTGCCCTCAATTTGTGAAAACTTATCTTTTTACTTACTTTAGACGATCATAGCAATAAACAGTCCCAAAGCACTAAAGGTAAAAAACACCAACTTCTATCTCTTATTCAAAGTCTAATTTATTCATTTATTCTCTGTAGAGACATTGATATGTGTATAGGTGTCGGGTTCTATGCTGAACACAGGAACTACAAAGGCAAATTAGATAGGGTCTCTGATAAGAAGCTAATAGTCTGATGTGTGATATGGACAAGAATCAGGTAAGAACAGCTTACATGAAATGGCTGGGCTACCTCAGAGCCCTTGGAAAAGGACACTTAGGCCAGTTCTGGGTTGGAATGCTTGGGGAAGACTCCCTGAGACTGATGGGGAAAGAATCCTTAAATTGTCCTGGAGAACAAATAGAGGTGATCAGGGAAGTAGGTTATGTAGGTAGAGGGAAAAGAATGAGCAGGGGGCAAGGGCAAAGGCACAAGGGCTGAGAGAGGGCGGGGAACAAGTGGTTGGCCTCACTGAGTCTAGGGAAGGCCAAGTAGGAGAGAGACACAAGGCAGGCAGAGGTCAGGTCTGGATGAGGCTGGGGAGACTGATTTGTTCCTTAGGCAGTAGGGGGCCACTGAAAAGATTCAAGCAGGGATGTGCTCCTGAGGTCATTCTGACTGTAATGTGGAGAATGGAGCGGAACAAGGAGTGGGCGGCCATGCGGTTATAAATGGCAGAGGATGCTGCGGGAATGGTAATGTCAGAAGTGGTATGCATTGGTTGGAGGAGTTTAGGGAAAGAGAGAAGAGTATAGGGTGAGCCAATCTGAGCTGCCTCCTGCCTTGGTTCCCATTGCAATCAACTAGAAGTTGCCAGATATTAACAGAGACCAGTCAAACCGGTGCTTCCTCTTCCTATCCTATCAAGGTAATGCCAAGTATGTACACGGGTTACACAGTTTCCAGCTTTCTGCCCAAAATAGGGTTCTTTAGTGGTGCAAACAGTCCTACCCACTCCCCCCACGCTGGAGTAACTTGATTTTGAGAGTGAATCCTGAGAAATGAGCACTCACAGAATACTGCTTGTTCCTTGCAAAGGCGAGAAAGGTCTGGTCCTCCCTTAGCACTGGGCCCACAGCCGAGAGAAGCTGCTGGAGAGAAGGCAGAAGGATGGGGAGGAAATGGACATGGAAAGAAGGATCTCATGGAGAGGGGCACACTGAAAGAGGAAGCAATAGAAGCAGCAGGAGGGAGTGGATAAAGGAAGTAAGAGGGAGGTTGGTAGACTAAAGAGAAAGAAGCTCTAAATTAGGAAAGATACTTAGAGGTGAAATGAAAATGCTCATAAAACCTGAGGGAGTAGAGGGACTATTTATGAGGAAACTAATGTTGAAAGGCCTTGATGTTTTCAAAATATGAAGAAAATGTGGTCTCAGAGTTGAGAGTGGGCTTTGGACTCCAGGGAGGTGCTACATCTTTAAGAGAGACAACTTGGAGAATATGATAAAGAATCAATTAAAGGAAGACACAAGGTTACTCAAAAGAAATCCAGGTAGAAAGTAACTGAATAGTACTTCAGTGCAGTGAACTTAGTGAGTGTTTAAGCTACTACACGTAAGACATTCAGGACAGTATTTAGCACCGGAAACTCTCAGAAAATACACCATTGGTACCATCTTCCTGTCTGTCACCTTGAGAGACTGTTAGGGACAGGGAGCAGAGTTAGCGATGCAGGTTCTGTTGGCTTCTTGGGGCAGAACCTTGTGTCAGTGGACATGGATAATAAACAGGGCAGAGCAGTCCAGGAAGAGGGGAGAGAAAGAGAAGATGTAGTGGCTTATTGACCTCCAGGCTGATCTAGGCAGAGAGCAGTTTCTGTGAAGGTGAAGAGTAGACTGATTGAGTGTAAGACAGTGTGAAGGACGATTGTGGAACTGAGATTTGGGGAACTTTCAAGAGATGAACAGAAACTAGTCAGAGTTGACAACTTCAATGCAGTAGAAACAAGAGTTTTTAAAGCATCAACAAGTTGAGGAATCTGTGAGTAGAACATGAGAGCAGTGAAAAAGTAATTGATGATAACAAGGGGAAAACTCAAGCTTGATAACAGGAGGAAGGGTGTGGAGACTGCAATTG